GAGTGGATCGCCTGATTCTGATACAAAAAACAAAAAAATTTAAATTGGTCAAAAATCTCAGCAGGGTGGTGAATCGTTGTAATCTGAAGGTTATGTTGTGTGCTGCTTTGTTTCGGTAGAGGAAGAGCTTGGTTTAATGCAGAGGAATATATGTAAGGAAGTGAATAAAATAACCTTTGCTTCAGCATCTGTTTTAGTTTACTAAGGTTTTCAATTGATTTATGTTCGGATGAACTAAATACTGCATCATGTAACTGTGCCTCGTCAGCAGGACGCTGGTCTGACTGCAGCCACCATGAGGTGACGATTGCCACATCTTATCCTTTACCTCACTGGGACACATGGCAAGGTAATCATCTGGGGAAGGTTTTAGTAGATCTGAGGTATGGCTCTTTTTTTTTTATATATTTGTTTTTTTATTTTCTTTCTTGTCTGCAGGATCACGTTGTCCTGCCTGCCAGCCTCCTGGTACTGCAGCGCGTCCCTGCTGTCTCTAAACTGTGCCACCAAGCAGAGGCTCCTCTTCCTGCTGCTGCTGTTCATCACCTCCGTTTTCCTGCTGGCCTCCTACCAGAGGCAGCTATGGGGCTCCCAGCGCCGGCCGGGGTCCCGAGTCAACAAGTGAGTGGGAAGTCATGTTGTGACTGAGGCTAGAGAGTTTAGCTTCATGCTGTTTTCAGAAAACCGCTTTTAGTTCATCATTTTAACGGATACTTCTCTTGCTGGTTGGGAGAGAACGACCTGAAAGCATCAGAGCAGATAAAAATGTGAAAGGCTTTCGTTTTTTATGTTTATCAAACAGTTTTGTTTGAGTCGAGATAAGAAGCAGGAGCATCTGTTTGTTTCTCATCGTTTTCCATAAATACTGAGACGTATCAGACCTGCTGTTTTCTCACGCCTCGTACACGACGTTTTCAACATTCATGTCGGTGTTGGATAAGTGGACTTTAGCTCGAGTGTGTCTTCTCTTCCTCCAGGTACCTCTCTATCGTGGAGTCCTTGGAGGCCACCAATGTCCTTGACTCTGCTCTGAATTATGGGATTGTGGTGGACTGTGGCAGCAGCGGCTCCAGGGTTTTCGTGTACTACTGGCCCCCTCACAATGGGAACCCCCACACCCTGCTGGACATCCGACAGATGAGAGATAGTGACCATAAACCTGTAGTGAAAAAGATCAAACCCGGTGAGGAATCGTCGCACGTCCTCTCCTCTGGTTACTGGAGATGTTTCAGAGTTGAATCTTTTAATGTGAGGAGATTTATTACCAAACAAGGTGGAGAAAAGGAAGAATCAGATTGAAGCTCTGAGGGTTTGAGCTCAGATTGAGCTTTTTGATTGATAGCCAGTCTGTAAAAAACAAGTGAAAATTATTTGTTAAATAAAATCGTTTAAAGCTGATTTATACTTCGAAACTGCGTAGGTGTCGCAGTTAATGCAGAGACATCCCCGCCCCCTCATGCAGACACTCTGGTCCACCTCTCCAAAATTGCTCTACTCTGTGCGTATTTCCTGTTTGGTAACTTACCGTATTTTTACGACCATAAGGCGCACCGTACTAAAAGGCGCAGTCTCAGTTATGTGTGCCATTACTGTATTTAACACACACATAAGGCGCACCGGATTATAGGGCGCGGGTTTTTAAATACCTCTACTGCGTATTTAAAAATAGAGCGGGAGCAAAACTGAGTATGTTTGTGCTTTATTCATGTATTTATTACAAAGTATTAATCAAACCTATCAAAGTCATCATCCTCTGTTTCTGAATTAAACAGCTGCGCTAAATCAGACATGCCAATTTACCCTTCTTCGCTGTCAGAGTCACTTTCCGTGCCGCGCGGCTCCTCAGAAATAATGCCGGCTTTTGCGAAAGCTTGAACAACAGAGCCAGCAGACACGTTAGTCCAAGCATCTACAATCCATCCGCAAACTGTGGCGTAATTTGCCCGGCGCTGCCTTCCACTTTTCGTGAAACTGTGGTCTCCGTCGGTCATCCATCGCTCCCACGCCGCTCGCAGCCTTACTTTGAACGGCCGCTTCACACCGATGTCGAGCGGTTGAAGTTCCTTTGTCAGACCTCCCGGATAACAGCGAGCACAGCGTTCATTTGTTTCACCTTGTTTTTCACATCAGCTGTGAGATGGGCACACATGGAGTCACAGATTAACAGCGATGGTGATGCGTGGAACAAACCACCTGGTCTCCTTGCATTCACCTCCCTCAGCCAAGCTTTCATCATCTCCTCATCCATCCAGCCCTTTTTATTTGCCTTAATAACGACTCCAGCTGGAAAAGTCTCTTTAGGCAAAGTCTTTCTCTTAAAAATCAGCATAGGCGGCAGTTTCTGTCCACGCCCACACTCAACAACGTCCGCAGTAACAACACAGATATGGCGCACCGCACTATAGGGCGCGCCGCACATTATGAGGGGAAAAAAAGACGTTTATATGCGCCTTATAGTCGCAAAAATACGGTACCAGCTTGTTTTGTTTTTCTGACCGCCATTGTGGAAAAACAACTCTTGAAGTTAAACCAGCTAGAAGAGCGAGGTGCGCAAGAACACTAGGACCCTTTTTCGAAATCATGTTCCTCTGTTGTCGGATAAACTTGCCCCCACTTCCTCATCGCCTCGGCCGTATCTAGGGAGTATAACCAGCCCTTTACTTGTACAACTAGTTGACTGATTCCAAATTTGGTTTCAATGACACACAGCTTGGGTGTATGAAAGATGGTCTTTTCTGTCCTTTTTCATTCTATTCAGTTTATTTCTATAGCGCCAATTCAAAACACATGTCACCCTAAGGCACTTTACACAGACATTACAGTCAGGCTGGGTAAATGTTTTTGTCAAGCCAAACCAGCTGATTGCATCCAGTCATTGACCTGCAAGACATGCTCCTCCTGGAAGAGCATGCATGAAGCGACAGTGGAGAGAAAAAACTCCCTTTTAACAGGAAGAAACCTCCAGCAGAACCAGGCTCAGTGTGAGCGGCCATCTGCTGAGGCTAACTGGTGTTTCCACCCTCTCATTTCCTTTCCTCTTTTTTCATCCTTTCATCACCTCTGATTTCCTGTTTTATCTTCTTCTTTACTTCTCCTTCCCTTTTCTGTTTACATCTCTTCCTTTCTGTGATGTTTGCAGATCTGACCTTTTGAAAATTCTGACTTAAATTGTTACCGGTTTAAAAAAGTTGGACCGCTGTGCAGCTTGTGAATGCATGACATTATCTGTGATTATCTGAGTTTCAGTGCCAACGGAGCGATTAGAGGAAGTTATTTTAGCTCCAGTCGTCTCAGCTGAAGGCTTTTTTTTTAATCTACTGAGCTTCATATTCTGGATTTAACCTCTAAAGCAGGCCTCCTCTATTCTGGCCCTCAATATTTGATGTCCTGCTGCCTTTAGGTATTTTTCTGCCTCTACCCTTAAATCAAATGGCTGAATTACCTCCACAGCACGCAGAGTCCTGCTACTGACCTGATGAATTGACTTGGATGTGTTGAAGCAGAGACTCAGCTGATAGGTGCAGGAAATGAGGAACACTTTACAAACTTAACAAAACAAGGGAAACGGCACAGAGAGGCAAAATTAAGGCTGAAGAAAAATTTCATATCATTTTACAAAATTCTTCTTTCGATCATTAATGAATCTTTTTGTTTGTCTTCAGGCATTTCCACTCTGGCAAACACACCAACACAGGCCAGCGATTACCTGGAGCCTCTCCTCAGCTTTGCTGCTGCTCATGTTCCTGCAAGCAAACATAAAGAGACGCCGCTCTACATCCTCTGCACTGCTGGCATGCGTCTGCTGCCTGAGAGGTAATGATCAGCAAGTGAACGTTGGCAGCCAGAGATAAAGATATTTTCCAACTTGTAGATCAGAGGCTGGGCGATAAATTATCACGATAAATTGGGCAATTTAACCTTGATCGCGATAAATGCTCCGGCAACTCTATCAGAAATAAAAGCATGTGCAGGAAATGGAACTGATCTATTTATAATTTACTTATTGAATAAATCACATTACATATTACTTTCAATTAAATATTAAAGTCTTGTACCGATTCAGGTTTAAACATTCAACGATGTCTCATTGAACCAAAGAAAAATGTTTCCCCTCCTGCAAACATTTTTGCACAAAGATAATGGAGCCTTTTTGTCACTTTTGAACTTATAAAAATCTGGAAAAAAGCCACATTCTCAAGGCTTTTTCAAATCACGCGAAAATGTGTACAAAACAACAAAAATGGCGCCAGCAAAGCTTCTGGGTCGTTTTCATCGTTTTCAGTGATTTTAAAGTAATTTTGAGTGATAATTTCTTTCTTTGTGCGCGGGCAAATGCTATGAAATTTGTACTCTCCTGACAATAAAAACTACTTGCCCCAGGAGATAGGGTGATGGTTAACATCGAGCCCTGCTTTGCGTAGTACCAAAGGTTTAACATTACAATTGCCCTTCGGGCTAGTGACTTTCACATTTCATTTGCCCAGAAACAATTTTTACTTGCCCAGTATAATGTTTGATAAATATAGTTCCTAATATTCATTTTTGTATATATATCAATGATCAATGTTTGTTTTTTAAATGTTTTTTGTAATTCAGTATTTTTTAAGTTTCCAGGTTCCTGGTGTGTA